TGGTATAGATTTTTACTGACTTCTTAGAAAAATGATGAACTACATGGTGAACAAGAGAGGACAAGACAAATAAGAAAAATTTAATGTCTTGGGCATATAAGGAACAAAATGTAATAATACATACAAAGATTTCACCAATTTTATTTCTCAGATTGGCATAAATTATTCTTTATTTTATTGAATATGACAACTTTAAAATAAAGAGCAAAAAAAAACAGAAGAATGCAAGTTTTAATATCTCCTATAAACTGCTGTAGAAATAAACAACGCACAGGATATTATTTTGTGTTTTTGTTTCACAGCAACATTCTTCGCTAATGAGTACCTACCTATCGTCATTTTTTTTTTATCTTGTTGCATCCTTTGTAACTCATTTCACCGTTCACGTACCCAGTTAATCATTGAGATTGTACAAGGTTCAATACTCTTTAAAATGGTAACAATAAACTAATTTGTATAGTAGTCAGTTCAGAGTGTTTCTAAAAATTATATAATTATATTTGATCAAAGAGTTATACGAAATATTTTCTAAGCCAACATAATTTTGAATTTAAAACTGTACACCTAAATGTGTAGGTAGGTAAGTAATAAAATATGAGAGTATCAGGTACCAAGACCTTAAGCTAGGTATTTTGTTTCATAATACCTTGTAATTTGTTTGTTTCTTTGTTTTATTGATAATTTAATGTATACGTATTTTCAAGAAAATCTAAATTAGAAAATGTTGTTTGTTTTGGACTGCAAAATATTCTGCTCACTATTACAGTATGGCTTACTACAAAACACGACTATTCATTGCCTTGTACTGTCAGAATATAATAGACGTAGCCCCCCTATGGCCTGTTCGTTGCTGCTGATTATGCACTAAATATAAAATGTACGCAAAAATGAAATAAAAACTAAAACATGCAATTGTCTATCACATGTAGTAACTAAGTAATTATGTAAAGTTTAGGAGCATGGCATTTTAAGTTTTAAAATTGTATTTCCGTGTAACTACAATGAGCAAAAATCAATAATTTAAAGGCTAAGATTCAATTGCTGCAGGAATTGCGAAACATACTAAATCTGTTCGTACCATCAAAATTTGAATTTTCTACCAATTGTAGTAAACCAAATCAAATAATATGAAATAATGAGCTATGCTAAATATTGAAATAGTATTTTTTAGCAACTACAATCGATTTAAAAAAAAATATATGGCTTTTTAAACCGAAGCATTTGTTGATTAGAAAATAATAAAAAAGAGTATTTAGTTTTACTTTTGTTCATTAATTTAGGTATGTATATGATAAATATTTATATAAAAAATCAATTATTTATGTTATTTTGATTATTTTGACTATTTTAATTATTGTTTTCGTGAAAAACGCAATTATTTTAAGGCAACACACTTTGGTACAAATTACCTCTTTTTTTATATATTACCATACTTATGAATACGACTGATGTACCTACTACCCAATATATTCGTAAAAATGTCCGCCCTATAAACGTAGATATATTATTTTTCATATAGGTATAGAGTGAGTTGTAAGTATGGAACGCCTCAATTATCTCAGAAACGGTTTTTATATACTTTGTTATATAAAGGTTTTGTAAAATGGCCAATATTATTATTGCAATTACATTGTTGTCTGATCTTTCTTTTTTCTGGAAATAAAATGAACTTTGTTATTTTAAATAGATCACCTCGTATATTTTTTCTTTTTTGAAATCCTTAAGAACCCAGGCAGCACACTTTGGTATAAATTACGTGTTTTTTTAGGTACTACCATACGCATGATCTGTCATGGTATTTTGGTTCAGTACTGTCTGACATTTTATCATGGAAAGACAGCACGGCACAACGTCTGCAAATAATTCAGCTGTACTACGAGAATCAGCGTTCTGCCAGTAGTGTATTTCGTACTCTTAGAGCAACATATGGTCTACACAATTGGTCCACCGAACGCACAATTCTCGATGGTGTACGAGAAGTTTGAAACCCAATTTTCATTATTGGAAAATACGCGACCAAATAGACCGCATACAGCACGAAGTGCAGAAAATATTGCGGCGGTAGCCGAGAGTGTACGTGATGACCATAATGAATCAATTCGGCGCCGATCTCAATAGCTTGGCTTGTCGTATGCAACAACTTGGCGTATTTTACGTAAGGATCTTGGTTTGAAAGCATACAAAATTCAATTCAAGAATTGAAGCCGGCTGACCTTCTAAATCATCACCGTTTCAGTCTTTTTGCTCTTGAACAGCTTGAAGAAGATCCAATGTTATCGACCAAAATTTTGTTCAGTGATGAGGCCCATTCCTGGCTGAATGACTATGTTAATAAACAAAATTGCCGTATTTGGGATGAAGAACAACCCGAAGAAGTTCAAGAGCTGCCATTACATCCAGACAAAACAACGTTTTGGTGTGATTTATGGGCTGGTGGAATCATCTGTGAATGGCGCCCGTTATCGCGCCATGACAACTGACTATTTGCTGCCTGAAATTGAAACCCGTAATCTCGATGACATCTAGTTCCAACAAGACGGCACCACTTGCCATACAGCCTGTGCAACCATGGCTTTATTGCGAGAACAATTTGATGAACAGTTAATTTTACGATTTGGACCAGTGAATTGGCCTCCTAGATCATGTGACATCACACCTCTAGACTTTTTCCTTAGGGGCTATGTGAAATCCAAAGTCTATATGGATAAGCCGAATACGATTGAGGAATTGGAAGCCAACATTACTCGGGTCATTTGCCAAATTCCATTCGAAATGCTCGAACGTGTCTTCGAAAATTGGAACTTCAGAATGGATCATCTCAACTGAGGGCAAGGAAAACATTTGAAAGAAATACTATTTAAAAACTAAATGTCAGAAATAGTTTTTTTGTATAATAATAAAGATTTCACCATAAAATATAATTTTAATATATTTTTTTTTTGTTGAAAAAAGTATAGTTCTTCCATTATCAATTGCAGAACATAAAAACTCGTTCGGGACCATTACCGACAATTTTGTTTGATCTGCCATAGGCGTAGATACCTATCTCATTTTATAAATTTATTTTGTTAATCCTTTTAATATATATCATATGCAAGAAAGTATTCGTTAAAAGGAAATCGAATCATTATACATTGGACGTTATTATACGCCTTGATTTAGACAGATGCACTTAATTGTAGTCTTACTTGAACTTAAAAAAAATCATTATAGCTCGTTAACTTGCTACAACTGAATATTAAATTATAAAACGTGAAAAAGCGAGTAAAGTGTACCTGCCTGTAAGGGCGTTTGGTTTAAACAGGGTACCAGATGTGAACTGAGACGTTTTTGTACCCCATTCGTTTTTTTTTTCTGGAAAACGAAATTTCAAAGCAAAAACTATAAAAGAAAATAAATTCTTTGCAAATAAAACAATACAAAAAAAAAACAACTCAATTCTAAAGTATCTTTATAAATAATCATGGCAGTCTAATTCCTTTGAACTAGAGTCATCATTTGGTTGAATTATGATGGGTTGTAAAGAGGATAATACTACATACTCATCTTCTTCTTTAATAACATGTTCGACGCAGTTTTTTTCCAAAGCTCTTGGCGGTTTGCTGCTAGAACTTTCTTTACGAGTTCTACAACCTCTTTACTCAGTTCTGGAGACTGATTACATTTTCGTAATTCTGATTCTGGTTAAATATGCAATAGTAAGGAGGTAGTCTGAGAAAAGTATGACCCTGTTCTTTGCACAGCTTGTCAATATAATATATTTTTTCCAACTTCATGCCTTTAATAACAGTAAGCAATTCTTTGTTTGTTGGGCCTTTTTTACGATCACTGGCAGGAATAAGAATATTTTTTTCAGACATAAACGCTAAAATTTGAGCAGCAACCCCTTTTGTGACTACCCGATAAATGGAAAATTTATTTACTTTAGTTAATTCAGCAATTTTTATTATGATCGCATTATCAGACTGCTGAATATTTTCCTTTTTTAAACATTCGAATATATTTAAAATAACTTGCTGTGTTTGTATATCTAAATCCTTATTGTTAAAGTCATACCTGTTTTTAATCTCACTACATTGTGCAATTTCATTTTCTTCATTCGTTCACGGTCTAAAGAACGTCATATTTATATTTATTAAAGAAATTTAAATTAAACCAACCACACATACAAAACACACCGCACGACAGTACTCCACTGATATCGCAGACGCAGACTGTCTTCCAGGAATATTTTCGAACACTCCTCCCCTTCGTAAACCTTCGGCCAATAAAGTGCATTTAAGTTTACGATTCGACGTTTTCATTGGTTAACAACGGAGATGATGGATTTTGACACATATATATCAAGTACACGTTGACTGACCGTTCCTTTAATATTTACCGCATTGTATAAGGGGAGTAAACATTATTTTTCGTTTCTAAATTTGGCATGAGTACCGTGCGTATATATTAAATATTGATGATTCCCCACATCACTGTGTTCTGCAATTGATATTGGAAGGACTATACCTCTTAATGAATCACCCATTATTTGCGGGTGTTAACTGCTGAATCTCTGACGAATACTTGCTTTACTTTCTTGATCAAAACGAATCATTTTGCTCACGGCAAGGCACATAGCTTTAGCTACAAATTTGACATCTTCGGAAAATATACTTTTTTTTGTTATGGTTTTACTTAACTTTTCATAGGAATGATAATACTTTCTGTTGTGCTGGTGTTTTGTCAAATAAAAAACATTAGTCATTGTCAAAAGTCAAAAACCATACTTATTTTATTTTAAACACAATTTGGTGTAACATTTTCCTATCGAATACCACACATATCTAAACTATTAGCTGCAAATTTTTTCTCACTTACGAATATTTTAAGAAAATTATCCCTCGTGTTGGAATAGGAATAATTTTCAAAATAATCGAGAGTTAGCAGATATCTTTTAATTTCCATCTTATTGTCAACTGAAATAATCAGTAAATAATTTTCAATAATTCAATTTTCAGGTACAATCTCAGCTATATCAGATGGAATGCAATATGGCTGGACCTCTCCTACCATACCCATTCTGCTTTCAGAGGATACCCCTTGGGAAGTAACTCCTATCCAAGCAGAATGGTTGGAATCCATCCTCATGATAGGCGCCTGTTGTGGTCTGCCAGCCACGATGTATTTAGTTGATAAAGTCGGAAGAAAAAAGTCATTGCTGATTTCCATGCTTACGACATTATTGGCTTGGGTTATCATGGCGGTAGCACCGAGGATTGAATACGTATTTGTTGCAAGGTTCTGTGCTGGTATGGCTGGTGATATGGCTTTTGTGGCAGCTCCTATGTATATTGCAGAGGTTGCGGATCAGAAAATTAGAGGATTCCTGTCTAGTCTGATATACGTTATGATGTTAACAGGTAAATGGATAAAGAATGAAAATAATACTGCTTGGTTTTTATGAAATAACAAAAGTAACGCATTTTTAGAATATTCATAATAATTATTTCGTTATTGCCACTGATCTTTAAATCTAATGTAAAATAAATGATAAAAATTTTCATATAAAGCCTATGTTTATTAAATTAATATACTTCTCTGAAGGAATTATAATACATACATAAAACACTAATGTTATTTTTTTGGAAAATTAAATAATAAATAATGAGTATTAAATACAATATTTTGATAGACATCTACAATATTTGAGTAAATACAAATAATACTTTTTCTGTTACATTACTTTAAATTTTATGTTTTTTAAAAATTATAATTTATAGCTTTTTAAGATTATTTGGTAATGATCCGTTTGTTTTTTAAAACCAATTCAGATCATTTTTATTTATGATTATAAAATACTCGTAGTGGATATTTTCACTATAATTACAGTCGGATCCAATGACGGTTGATGCATAAGTGTTGTAGAGCTGCAGAACTGACAAAAAATGCACGTGTCTCAAGGTTTTTGAAGATTGAAGAGAAGAGAAAAGGATGAGAAGGAAGAAGAGTATGAAAATGGAAAAGCGTAGGAAGAAAATAGATGAAAAAACAGAAAGGCATAGGAAGGAGAGGAGGAAAAATAAAAGCGAAGAAAAAAAGAAGAGGGTGAAACGGAATAGCAGTAGAAGAAAAAGAAAGGCTTAAGAAGGAAGAAGAGAAGGAAAATGAAAGGGTAGGAAAAAGAAAAAGAGAAAAAGAAAGGCGCAAGAAAGCGGACGAAGAGGAAAACTAAGGGCACAGGAAGGACGAAGAAAAGGCGAAAGGGAAGAGACGTAGAAAAATAGCGATTGAAATAATGAATAGTTTGCTACAAATTCAGGAAACCTTCAAGCAAGAGGTTGGTCGGCTTAACATTAGAGTAGATATTTTAGAGCAACAAGAAGAGCATTTAAAAACTAATTTGGAACATCATAACACTGTAGGGTGATGGGTGACATTGCACTTCTTTTTATGTTTGTAATTTTTTTATAACAGTCTCAGGCTACTGCAGGTTGTAGGGTAACAGTGCTTCCTCTTCTTTAATTATTCGTCTTGAATAAATGGATTACTGGGACCTGGTTAAAGCCAACGGGGAGGAGCTGGACCAAGGTATGGCACTAACTTATCAATGTAAAGTACCTTGGGTTTATTTCCCGCTAAAATCTGAATGCGGTAGATTAGGTCGTTGATTTTCTTAAGTACGGTGTAGGTGCCTTTCCAGTTCTGTTGCAGTTTCTGACAAATTCCTTTTCGGCACTTGGAATTGTACAGTCATTCTAGTTCACCTTTTTTAAAATGTGTCCCTGTGGGTACATTTTGATTCTAGCTTTTGCTTTATTGCTAGTGACTTTCAATCGTTGGCGAGCGAAGTCGTATACCTTCTCTAATCTTTCTCCTAAGTTTCATTTCCCTTCCAGTAATCATCATGGATGGGGTATAAGTGGTTGATTCATGCTCAGAATTTCGGTAGGCTAGTAAAAATAGAGGAATTAAAGTGTCTAAGTCCTTTTGATTCTCAGAAATAAACATTGAAATATACTGGCACATGGTTCTATGATGTCTTTTTGCCATTTCCTAAAACTATGGGTGAAAAGACGTAGTTCGTGTTTTCCTAAAGCCTAACAGTTTTGTCAAATCCTGCCATAATTTGGATTCAAAATTTCTTTCTTGCAATTCCAGGGTAACTCCATGTCTCAAAATAAAGTTCGTCATAAATGATTTCACAACTATCATCACTTCCTCATTAGGAATAGACGCTATTACTGGTCACTTTGAAAAATAGTCCATAACAATGATTAAGTATTTAGTTTACCTTTCTGATAAGGGAAGCAGCCTGAAGATATCTATAGGCGCTTTTCTGCCATTACATAGGTCACATTTCTTACACCAATCTTCTACATCCCGTCGGCAATTGACGCAATAAAATCTTTTCCGAACTCGTGCCAGTGTCCTTTTAGTATCAAAGTGTCCACCTGAAGGGCTGCTATAAAGCTCCTCTAATACATTTCTAACATGTGATTTTAGCAGTACCATTTGGTTGACTACATGTACTATATCGAAGCTCTCCTACTTTTGATTTAATAGGCCATCGTAAAGATGGATACTAAATCCATTAATTCCACTATATTTGGCTATCTCTTGCCATGTAAGTCTGGCTCCATTTTTGAGCCATTCTCGACAACCTTCATTTATTTTATTTGAATGGCTTTGACAATAGCTAAAAGTTCTTTTCTAGTCACACAATCATTCTTCTCAACTTTTTCTAAGATCTAACTAAAATACGTTATTACTTTACCCTCGTTGTTCCTTGCAGTAGCCTGCGGCTAATATATAAAACGTACGAATACAAAAAGAACTGCAATGTCACCCATCAGCCTAAAGAAGACGATTTAATAGTGCAGAAATGTCTGGAAATCTCATTCCATGTCAAAAAAAATTTAGTTCGAGAAGGTTCTAGAATATTAAAGCGAGCTATATAAGTCGATGATCCTGACTTCAGAGTTTAGTTTTATGATAAGACGTTATTCGTTTATGTTTGTCAGTTATATTGTTGAATAATTGCAAAAATTTAGTTGAAATAAACTGAGTTACCAAAAATCTGCATAACAATATTTAATGTTACTTCCGCAAATGTCATTGTCAAAATTTGGTGAGACTCTTTTTGACTGAATGTATACCCAATCACTGAAAATTAAAACGTTTAATTTATCCTATTTTAAGCTTTTTGGATTTTTTCAAGAATAAGGTAGAATGTTCCTCTTGACATGATAATACTATATTAATCTGAAATTTAATTTCCATGCATGCATAATTTTTTGTACTTATACAAATCCTCAATTTGCAAAATTCCTTTATTTTGATCCTTATATAATTATTTTCACCATTTTCAGTTTTAATTACATTTGGAGTTTCAAATGGAATCTGCAGGTTGGCACTTATATTTCTATTTTTATCTCTAACCAACAATGCTCTAACTATTATCAAATCACCCTTTTTTAAACTAGTTTTCTTCCTTATCATCTCATTTATACTTTTCAAATACCTAGTGGTATTCCTCTGTAATCTTATCTCATAGTCCCTTTTTTCTATATAATTTTCACGAAACCTTAACCACATTATTCTTCCCATTTCCTACATGTAATAATTTATCATTTTTCTAAATCAATATGTCACTGAATTGGTTTTTACAATAAAATTTTCTCTTCCTCTTACTGCAATCTTATAAACATCAGTTTCTGCTATCCTCGTCTCTTTCGTTATCAGATCTTTATACTTTTGAATCAATTTATCAAACAACCTTCCTGTACCCTTCATCAATACCAAGTTATTTCATTTTTGGTTTACCCTTTTCACTCTATTCACTTTTTTCTCCTTTTGCTGTTATCATTAAATGCTTATAATCATGTTTATATAGAATGTCCAATTAGTAAATCATACCCAAAATGTTTAACAACCAGCAAATGACTTTATAATCTTACTCTTTTTCCAAATTCTGTATTCAAAACTGTAGAACCTCATATAATTTTCTTCTGTTAGCACCTACCAAAGTACCTTGGTATTTTTATTGACTCTTGGATATCCTCTAACACATCTTTATTTACTAAGGATGTCTCTGATCCTGTGTCTATTAACATTTTGATTTTCTTTTCGCTTAATTTGTCTTCTACAAATAATAAACCATTTAATTCTTCGACGTTACCATCAAAATCTTCCCTTGATTTAAAAAACTACCTCAGATGTTCAATACTTCTAATATTTTTAGTTTGAAAAACCAGAAAAACAGAAAAAAAAAACGATATTTTAATAAAAACTTACCATGTATATTATTTCAGTGCTTTTAGTAAGACTCACAATTTTTATTTCACAAACCAATAACTTTATAAATATTACATACATTCTTGATATCGCCCATTATTGAAGAGCTTAAAAATGAAGAGAAAAATGTTCTATTTAAAAATAATCATGTACACGAAAGTGCAGCCAATTGTAGCGTAAGATGCACAGTTTAAAACTAAAAATATAGAATTTATTCTAACCTATATGGCCTTACTGTGACACATAGCTTACACTGATATCGTACACAAAAAATTTATATATTTATATATTTTCAGGTATTCTTCTAGTTTACTGCGTAGCTCCATTTGTACCTGTATGGGGACCTTGTTTGCTGGGCATCCTAATCAACTCAATAGGTCTGCTTATTTTCCCATTCCAACCAGACTCTCCATACTATCTCCTCTACAAAAACCAACCAGAAGAAGCCAAACAAGCTCTTAAGCGACTAAGACAAACAGAAGACGTCGATGCTGAATTCAAGGACATTTCGTTGGCGATAGAAAGGCAAAAAACTGAAAAAGGCAGATTTCAAGATTTGTTTTTAGTTCCCAGCAACCGAAAAGCGTTAACAATTATGGTGATGTTAAATAGTTCGCAGCATATGAGTAGTATAAGTGTGATGTTAATGAATTTGCATTCCATTCTCGCTGAAGCTGGGTCGTTTTACGTAGCTGCCCATACTGGAGCAATTATTTTTTCAGCTACGATGTTTGTAGCAGCTATGTCTGCTTCATTGGCTATTGACAATTTTGGTAGACGTTTTCTTTTATGTACATCGGGTATTATAGCTGGAATTTCTCTTCTGATTATAGCAATTTATTTCAATGTAAAGAATTCAGGCGTAGATATCAGTAATATTAGTTGGTTACCGCTTGCAATGGTGATACTCTACGCTGCTTCATTTAAATTCGGTATCGGTCTAGTACCTGTAGTTATGACAGCAGAACTATTTCCAGCTAAAGTTAAAGCATTTGGAATGACACTATCGGATCTATGTTACGTTGGTTTTTCTGTTATAACTCTACAAATTTATCATTCTCTTAGACATGCGTTCGGTATACAAGTACCTTTTTATATTTTTGCTTGTTCTTGTTTTTGTACTGTTATTTTTACCATTTGTTATATACCAGAGACTAAAGGTAGAACGTTAGAGGAAATACAAATGATTTTGAAGGGTGAATTTAATCCAAAGCAGAATTATACTGATGGAACGAACGAAATTGAAGACAAAAGTAAGGAGGCTTATAAAAATGATGCATTTGTTCCATAATATGATACTTTAATATGCCTGTTTTCTGGTATACTTATATAATATTTTATAAGTTCGTTGTAGTTAATTTTTATATTTTTATTACATAAACTCATAGGAAATAAGCTCCTTGTTTTATTTCTTAATTGAATTTATATCTATACAGGGTGTTTTTTTAATATTGCGCAAAAATTTAGAGGCGTGTCCCTTGGACGAAATAAAGCAAAAAAATCCTATGAACATATGTCCTACGCCTCTTAGATTTTTAACTACAGGGTGGTAAAGTTATAAGAAAAAAAAACTTTAGATATTTTTCTGAAAATTGGTTCGCAATTTCTATGCATCCAAAGCTATTTTCCGATACACAATTTAAACTTTTACATTTGCCATTGGCGTTCATGCGGGCTTTGAACTGAATATTTCTTAAAAAAAAAACGGTACGCCACTGACATATGTTCATAGGAACTTTTTTACTTCATTTCGTCCAAGGGACACGCCGGTGAATTTTTTTCGCAATATTGAATGAACACCCCGTATATTCTATATGGTTCTTTGACAAAAATAAGTACTAGACCTATAGAATAAAACTATTGTCACTTATTAATCCTTCACCACATTGAGAAACAAGAAAAAATCGTGTGTACTAAAGACTGCAAATGATTATGGAAATAAATCTATGGAAATCTATGGAAATAAATGAGGCTGATATTAGTTTTGGAATGACAAAACTGTTATTAGTTCTTAATAAGATATTCATGTGGATGATAAATTTCTGTGAATGACGAAAAAAAGAAAGTAAATGGGTTAAAAATAAATAGAAAATAATGGCAAACATTTTAAATATAGTATGAGACTAGTAAAACATACTTATAGTCAAATACATGGCATTGATTTTGAATATTATATCCTTCATGGTGAAATTATTTTCTTTACTTTAAGTCGTCAATCACACATAATTTTTGACAACACATTTCATATTATTTTCATAGAGTTGCTTATTTAATTATCGATAGTTCCCATACCACTCGTTGTATTACATGATAAGTTTTCTCACTCTATATGTTATGAGTCAATTAAAATCTTCTTTTCTGTTGCTTTAGAAACAAGACTATGTCTACAGCGTTTCTAGTTAATGTTTTATCACAATTTTTAATTGATCGTACCACCACCATGATTTAATTTCGCTAGTTATTCTCATAGGATAACGAATTCAGAACAGCATGTCTTAACATAACCTTAGATAACATAACAGGAGCCATAAAAACAACACCAAACATAAATGTCGTTTACAGTAGGACGTCGTCCGGCGGCATTTTTCAACTCCCTGATAGCATGCCGCCCTGATCAACAAATCATTTTAGATTTGCGGCGGCTTTCTTATGTGTGAGAAGACCATGCCACCGGAAGACGGTTTTCTTTTCAACAAATGCAAGCACCGCCGGTGATCGGCCAGTATGTTGTTTTTAATAAAACTCTTATAAAAGTACAATTTTCCATTTTATTTCGTATTTTATTTGCCGACTATGTCACCCTAATATCTATTATTTACCGTCGTCAATAATATAAATGGCCTAAGGAAAATCTTAAATAAATTGTTATTTAATCTTAGTTTTTTTTAGATAGTTTATGATGAGTAAAATGAAATATAAGTACCAGTTGTCTATTGTGGACAAACATAACTGGTAGGACAACGACAAGCGTGTTTTCTCAAACGATTTTTCAGGGATACCAGACATAAATAATAAAAGACATAATTTCAAAACCATAAGATCCATTATCGATGCAATCAATACAGTCAAAAATATAATCGTTGATAAGGAGGTGGCACGAATAAAAATAATATTTAAACATCTTATATCTCATGATTGGGGTACGGGACGACGCGACGCCCAGAATCCTTTCGCCTAGATGAGAGGGCGAAGATATTCGATGAACAGCTGATCATGTAGATGTGAATTTTAATTTATTTTTTTTACGTTCATGCAAAAAACAAAACAAAATGTATTTTATTAAAACTATCACTACAAATTATGAACACAAACGTAAATAAATGCCTCAAACAAAGGTTTACGATCATGGCTACTATGATTTGGATAATACAACTGCAGTTCTATAAAACATTTTTTGGTTTTTGCATGAACGTAGAAAAAATATTGTATGCAATTCGTGCAAAACGTTTTTATCGTCCAAAATTAAAAAAAAATTATTCCAAAAATTTGAAGAGGCCACTACTAATATCATCCCCCAATCTACTCTCTCACAAATCTTAAATATCCTGCAAAATATGCTATGAAATAGCCAAAATGGACCAAGCTACAAAATTCCGAAAAAAATGGGTTAATATGGATGAAAAGGTTATTTTTTGAATGCAAAGGAAAAAAAATAAATTGTTGAAAAGTTATGAAGTGCAAGAAAGTGCAATCAGAACTTTTTATTTTGTGTACTGATTTTATTATGTTGCAAAAACTTTAAATCTCATTTCCTCAAATTTCTCTTGTTGTCTCTTGATTTCTTTTTGCATACCTACGTATAAATGATGATAGAAGATGCTTCAATTGCGGAAGAATCGGACAACCCAGAAGGGAAAGTAATTGCGCATTTTAGAAAGACCTTGGGAAAATCTAAAGAGTTATTTTGTCACTAGGAAAGAACTTCTAGCTATTTTCAAAGCCCTTAAATACTCCAATACTTACACCTTTTTGATAGAATTTTGAAACAACACAATCTAAAATCCTGTTTCATGCAAACCATGATATCCAGCATGTTAGGTCTAAGATGACAAAGATAATAAAAACACAAATTGTAGCCAGATATTTTTGCAAAGTATCCTTGCATTGAAACCTCGATAAGTTTGTTTAAAAATATAGAATAAAGTTTATTTATATTATTTTACTTTAATTGAGGTCTTATTCTAGAAAACGATAACGCTCACCTACTTTTGCTTCTACTGTGAGATGGTCGGAAGAAGAAGAGTTCTGCATTATTGATAAGTTGCGAAGCATATTTCCTAACAGGACACTTTTTGTTGCCAAGGATCGTTTAAATAAGTATGGTCAAAGATCATAGTGGACGTTGTAGACCTTTCTTTCCCGCATTATAGGTTTTCATTGTTGTTAAGTTTAGAGAGTTTGATCAGTATTAATTATAGTTGAATATAATAGGATATTGTATAATATTAGTTAAGTTAGTTCATAAGTTTCAGAGTATTATTATTATTATGTAACAATATATACATTGTGTAAAAGGTTTGTTAACTAAACTAAAGATTGTTATTTCCCAGGTTTCACTTTTGTAGTCACCTGAAGTAAAGATACTGTCACAAGTTTTATCATTAGAAGGGACTATAGCGCCTTGTATCACCTGTAAAAATTCTATGCTGAAAAAGACTGGTACGCCGCGTAGATTTTCTGTTTTCAAAATGTCACAGATGGTATGGATAAATTCTTTAACTTTTTTTAGTTCTTCATCTGTCATGTGGGTTTAATTTTTAACTAGCTGTTTCACAAAGTTGGCGTCAACTAAGTTACCGCAGAACTGTCTTCGCACTTAATTATGTTCTCCACCGGTTTGCAGAGCCTTATTTTTGGACTTTCTTTGATTTGAATGATATCTTTGATAAATTGGCAACCCTTACTTGAATCAATAAATCTACGTCAACGAGACATCTAGCTACCAGAATTCCCTTTACTCACAAATTATTTACTTTCCACAATGCCCACAGGTTTTTTAAAATTCATTAGACACTGCAAGGCGTTATGTATGTAAAAAAAGGTAAGTGTGGAAGTGTTCAAGGGCTTTGACAATAGCTAAAAGTTTTTTCCTAGTGACGCAATAATTATTTTCAGCTTTTCTCAAGGTCTTACTAACATACGCAATAACTTTGTGAAAAAATCGAATTTATTCATTTAGGACAGCCATTCAAACTTTCGTGGCTATTCGCCTGTTACGAGTTTCATTTACAAACAGATTTTAAGAAACATTAGAAATTTAAAAAATTATATTCTTTTTAGATGAACACTTTTTCCCTACCCATCACCTAAAATTATCAGAGTCGATAAAGAATTAAATACCTACTTGCCTTCCATTTTAGATACGAGCGCCACTGTCTTAATCGTACCCTATGCCGTACATGCTTAGATTGTAAAATTACTAACACCCTATTTATTTGGAAAATTGAATGTATCTCGTTTTTTAAATAGATAAAGAAAAAATTAATAGGAAAATACTCAATAAAGTCGCATAGCATAGGCAATACACAATACAATAAATAAGAGTACAGATGAGTATGAATATTTACCAGGTAATAAATTTTCTACACACGTGTATGTTAATACATATAATATGCAAATAATTTGTTAATTGCTAGGTACAATATTCGAGATATTCATCTGATATAATAACTTAATCAAGGAATGAAGTTTGACTTCTATCCTAAGTGGTGTGATTTAAATCAGTTTCATAACATATAGGGTGATCATTAAATATGTGATTCACATTTCGTTGCTCAAGACAAAAAGTTCATGCAAGTGAAGGTCTTAAATGACCTTATAAAAAGTCAATAAACGTTTTAAACTAGGTAATCAGATATTCTACTGTTAAAAATTTAAATTATTATTACTGAATGACTATAATAATTTATTTTATGAATACATTTCAGGAAATGACTTCCACATCTTATTTGCAACATTTCAGAGTAAATGAGTAATAAGAATATTGAAAATATTGAAATGTAAACCACAGAAACTATTTTGTTTATTCTCATCGTTGAAAGTGGTGTGGATTTTCCATTTCTTGGGATGTTTTACATATACTTAACTCTTATAGCTAAAATAATCAGTACAGTGTGTGTCTTGCATATATCCAGAAGTCAGTTTAATTTAAAGGTATGTACTTATTGCCAATGTAAATACGAAAAAATCAAGTGTAATATATTTGTTTCAAATTTTAACAAAGAAAAATAGCTTCACGAAAACGTTATATTTTGCAAAAACATTTGCTTAACTATATAAATTTCTACTGTTTAAAAAAAAATAATAAAAATGAAGAAACCTACAAATACATGCCATGTGTATTATTATTAAACTATGAAAAGTAAACT